GGCTAGGGAACTTGCTACACGGCCAGGGCTAGGGAACTTACTACACGGCTAGGGAACTGCTCACTACACGGCTAGGGAACTGCTCACTACACGGCTAGGGAACTAGGGAACCTACTACACGGCTAGGGAACTTCTTGCTACACGGCTAAGGAACTTCTTAGTACATGGCTCGTGAACTTACTAAACGGCTAGGGCTAGGGAACTAGGGAACTTACTACACGGCTAGGGCTAGGGAACTAGGGAACTTACTACACGGCTAGGGAACTAGGGAACTTATTACACGGCTAGGGAGCTTCTTTCTACACAGCTAGGGAACATCTTACTACACGGCTAGGGAACTTCTTAGTACACAGCTAGGGAACATCTTACAACACGGCTTTGGAACGTCTCACTAAAGAACTCTTCTTAGCGACTGAGTATCCACTAAATTCCGCTTGACCCAATAGACCTTGTATGAAGGTCTTTCACTCACGACTTTTAAAACACATCTTCCTCTAATAGGTCACACAGGTCAGCACACCACAGCACGTAGATGGCGCTCACACACTAGGTCATGTCAACATAATCTCGACGCCATCTGTTGCCCTAAGTCTTAAGTCAATCACATTCACACACTGTCGCAGTGGATCTCAAGCTTTTTGAAAGCTTTAACTCGTTTTTAACACGATTTCACATTCACACACTGCCGCAGTGGATCTCAAGCTTTTTGAAAGCTTTAACTCGTTTTTAACACGATTTCACATTCACACACTGTCGCAGTGGATCTCAAGCTTTTTGAAAGCTTCAACTCATTTTTAACACGATTGATACTTGTGTTGAGATAAGTATTATGATTAGTTCCGAAAATTACCGGCGTCTATAAACTTGAATAGATGGCTTATCTGTACTTTTAAAATTATGATGTGATATGTGGTAAATGTTAATAAAGCAAAATCCCTTTGATGTATTTGATATCTGTGTAGACCTCTATACGTTTAAAAAAATCCTTTTGAAATTTTAACTTTTTAATTACGACTGCATGAGCCTTGATATAGACGTTTAGCATCAGAGACAAAGTTGAACTGTGTAGCAGAAAAAAACCATTGTACTATATAAATCTTATGAAACCCGGTCCTTGTTTTATTACTTTCTTGCCGTTTTAAATTCTTCCTTCCCCCCCCCCCACCCCACCCCTGTTTTTTTAATAAGCTTTGTTGGTCCTTTTTATTACATCAGGTACTGCATAGTGTTGCATTGTGGCGTGACGGTATTTCTCACTGCACTTGTCGCACTTTGTTACACATGGGTGACCTCCCCTAGCGTCACAAAATTTGAGACACCCTCCACCTCCCACCCCCCCCCCCCCCACCCCCCATAAACACACACAGAGAGACAAAATATGATAAAATGAAAAGTAATTAAAGTGTTCCCTTTTCGAACTTGATCTGTTTCTATGGCCTCGGTATATGAAAGGATTGTGTGGTCGGCACTTTACTTTACTCTACGTTCGCTAACGTGAGCTAGGTACCCATCAGAGCTGGGTGGACTCAAGATCGTCCAGCTGAATTTAACCGGGATTCTAACTCGAGACTTTCGGGTTACCAGTCTAGCGCTCTACCGTTCGGCCACGCGTCAGATTATACACATAAGGATAAATAATCTTTTCATCGTTTTACTTATGTTCTACATTTGAACATATCACTCACGCAAACATTCCTCACTATAGACACGTCAAACAATGCTTTGAGAACCCCTGGTCTACTTCAAATATCCAGCATTGATTTTTTCATAAAATGATCATTAAATCATCCCCTGCTTGATTGTTAAAATCACTTCGTGTTTCATTGTTTAAATTATCCCCTGCATGATTGTTTAAATCATTACCCTTTGATTGTTTAAATCATCCCCTGCTTTATTGTTTAAATAATACTATGTTTGATTGTTTTTAAATCATTCCCCTGCTCTCTAGTATTTCAGCTTTTTCTCTTTCTTGAAAATACAAACACTACACAATATCCAACCTCTGACATTTAGTAATAAGGTCAAGGTTGTTTGTCGAATTAAAAAAACCCAACTCCAACACTGTGCAAACGAAATACTCACAGATGGTAAATATTTACGTAATGCGCGATCAGAGGTTTTAGTTTGCTTATTAAGATCTGCCGATGTTAGAAGTTGATGTTAATTATTTGCTTGCCTTCCAAAAGATAACGGTTTTCATTTAGAAAATAAAAGAGCTCGCACTCTGTTGAAGGAATGTGTTGTGTCCTTGTTGTGTGTTTATTTTATTTATAGAAGATCGTGGGATAAATCTCTGAGTGACAGATATCGGTGAGCTGACATTTATATGTCTATAGCCGAGTTATTTTTAATCTTCGTCCTCAGAACGTATTTTTTAAAACCTTATCTCCCTTGGCATGCAAAAATTATATTGCTGTTTTCATGATTGTTTCCCTTTATTTTCTGTCGTGAGAAAATGTTAGGTAAGGTTTTTTTCCCATTGAAATTATATCCTTGTAGATTAATGCAGGCTGTTATAGCTTAGATTACGTCCAATAATGTTGTTTTAAGATGTGTTTTAATAACAAGAGACTTTAATTGGTTTATGGCAAGCTCACCATAAAGAGGCTGGGTTTAAGTTGTTTGGTTAATAAACGAGGCCAACTCACATTGATAACGATAACATGCATGGACTAAGTGTTATAGGTAGGTTAAAATGAGATGCATGATAGCCAACTTTCCCCCTTCCTCCCCTCTCCTCACTCCCACCCCACGCACACACCTTTGAATTATTAAAATTTTAGAATATAATGAGAAGAAAATATCTCTTACCTTAAGCAAGGCCTTAAAATAATATGGGATATTTAATTTGTTTTAATTACCGTAACAAATTAGCTAATTCACAACTCTGACTCCCTCACTGGTAAAAGTATATATTTTCTATATAAATTCCATTTCGTTAGGGGAGGGGGCGACTTTCTTCGCCGCCCCCCCCCCTTCTTGGAAGAAACTCTGGGGACGAGCGCATGGGGGGGGGAGGGAGGTCAATGAAATATTACCCTCAGAAGGCGGGTGTGAGCTCTCCCTAAATGAATGTCAACTTTAGTGGTGGCTAAACTAATCTCCGCCTCACACACCCCGGAAGTTGTAATAGAAACCACGTGGTTTGATGCAAGTTACGAATCCGTGCTGTAGCCTATATCAAACTACATTAGATTTGTTTACGTTAGGTTTCTTACAAAGGTGGGGGAGGGGTGTCACGAGCAAGCCTTCCCCTTCCCCACCCGTATCATGGGATTACTTTTTAAATGCTAGACCTTGACCTTTATGTACAAAAAAAAACTACCTGATTCAGCAATATACGGGTATTTATATTCATTTTGTTCCATCCCTAATTCTATGTTAAAAACACACACAAATACACACACGTTCTCACAAAGAAACACACACTCACACAAACGCTCACACACTCACAGAAATACGGAAAAAGAGAGAGAGAGAGAGAGAGAGAGAGAGAGAGAGAGAGAGAGAGAGAGAGAGAGAGAGAGAGATACACACACTCAAACAAATACACGCAAACTCACACTCTCTCAAAAACGCACACATAAACACGCACACACATAGAGAAACAACAAACTCACACACACAAAAAATACACTGACACAAATACAGAGAGAGAGAGAGAGAAATATACACACACAAATACACGCACACTTACACAAACAAACATACAGAAACATACACATACAGCAACACACATAGGCCTACTCATTCACAAATACACACTTAAACATATACGGAAAGAGAGAGAAATACACAAACACTGACACACAAACACACATGCACATAACTACACGCGCTTGTTCGCACACGCTAAGAAAAAAAAATCTACACATAACTGTTAATGACCTTTCAAAAAGTGGTTCACTCCAATGGTAAATGGAATGTCTGTCTGAAGTCTATCTTAGATCTAGTTCGTCTCTTATCTTGAGATGTTCTTGAAGAAAACTCGGCCCTTTCTGTACTGAACTAGCACTGGCGCCGATAGGAACCGATTTTTTTTTTGTCTGCTTTGTTTTATCTCGACGTAGGATTTGTAAAAGTACTTTTTAAAATACCAAGTTAAAAGTTTTACTTCTTATCAAAATGTGTGTTACTTAATGCACTGCCACTAGTTAAAACAGGCCGGAGATTTTGTTTTTTATTCTCTTTTTTGTGTTTTAATAAGTTTGTTAACTTAAAATGTATTTCTTGTGTGTGTAAATTTAACCTTACCAGCAGAGTTTCTTCAAGCCATTTCTTCTGCAAGTCTACCGTTCCCAACCCCCACCAACTCCAGTGTTTCTTCCTGGCATCTCTTCGGACCTTTCCCCCATCCCGGAAAATTATCCGCCCCCTCCCTCCTCCCCCCCCCCCCCCGAAAATTTCAAGTGCCCCCTCCCGGAGAAAAAAGTCTGAAAGAAAGAAACAGAAACACTGACACCCCCCCTCCCACTCCTGGAACACTTTTTTATTTTACAAAAATAGTAATGTTTATAAATTTCTTTTTGTAAACTTTTTGTAATCTGTAATGGAAATTGATTAATATGCTCTAAGTTGGCCGAGTTCAGTCAATATTTTAGAAAGAAATCGATTATTTAAAAAAAAAAACAATTAACCTGCAGCTGGGGTGTGAAATCATTTTAGGTGAAGGGTCTGTTGTTTTGTTACGATGAGGAGGGGTGGGGGGGGGGGGGTAAAATCGTCAAAGAAATACACATGATGTTGTTTATGGATGACTCCTATGGGTACTCCTATTTAGTTTCTGGGTCATTCGTAGGATATTAATATTTATCTGTCAAAAAATGCCTCCTTGCACCCACCCCCCCCCCCCAACACAACTACGAATAGAGTGCTATCTCAGCCCTGCTATTGCGCTTCAACAATTACCAACCGGACATCTGTCGGTATCTGCCTCGCCTTAAATCTCCCAGCGGCCATCTTTGTTTACAAGACTGACAACCAATATTTGCTTTCTTCAGGTTTGACCAGCGACTGAAAAAAATTTTTTTACAGTGACAAAAAAAAATCAAACAAGATGGCGTCCGTGTGGCTGACCAAGCTGAAGCTGCCGTTGTATCTCATCGTCCTCGAGCTCGTCTTCATCATCCTCTTCTCTGTGTTTGTCGAGTACGACGACAGCGCCAGCCCGGAGCTGATTGTAAAGGGAGACAACAGCAGCACTCATGTCCACGCCAAGGAGAAAAATATGGTGCACGACTATTACCCGAGTGAGTTTATGTTTAATGTTTATTTAGCCTCCAATTATCACTTTCCACACCCTGATATTATTTATTTCAATATGTTTTTAAGTATTCCCATGATATTTATCTCGTTGTAATGTTCCTTCTTGTTCCCTAGTGTCATTATGTTTATTTCCTTGATGTCCCTAGTGTTCAATGATGCATATTTCCTTGTATATCCACTGTTCAATGATGTTTTTTTTTTTTGCTTTTGACCCCAGTGTTCTAATTGTGTCCACAGTGTTCCGCAATTGATTATTATTCGTGTTCCCTCGAGTTCCATGATGTTTATATCCTTGTGTTCCATGATGTTAAAATCCTTTCCTCCCCTGTGTTCATGTCCCATGTGATTTTTTTCTTGTGTCCCTTTGACCCATGATGTTAACATCTTTGTGTCCCTAGTGTTCCTTGATGATTTTTTTCTTGTCTTCCTTTGTCCCATGATGTTGACATCTTTGTGTCCCAAATGTTCCTTGATGATTTTTTTTACTTGTGTCTCTTTTTTGTCCCATGATGTTTATTTCCCTATGTTCCCCAGTGTTCCAGGATGTGCACGTCATGATGTTTATAGGCTTCGGTTTTCTCATGATGTTCCTCAAGCGCTACGGCTTCAGCAGTGTCGGGCTAAACATGTTGATTGCCGCCCTTTGTATCCAGTGGTCGACGCTGATTGGTGGGCTGATCCACCATCATGGCGCCAAATTTAAAGTCAACATCACCACGTATGTTGGGGTTTTTTTTACGTTTTTTTTAAACCATTAACTTTTAGCTGCTATATTTTTAATTAAACCATAACAAATTTTGTCAACTTATTAGAACAACTTAATAGCTAACCAATGTAGATATTTTATGTCTAGTTTATGTTATTCTATAGGGCTGGTAAGTAGGTCACCAACCAGTTCTACAACTCATGAGCCATAGAACTGGTTGGTAACCTACTTACCAGCCCTATTGCGTAAATAAGCTGTTACTCATCGTGTCTATTTTTTCACAATGTTATTAAACTACTATTTTGAAAAGGGGTTGTCTTAGTTTATCTGTCAAAGAACTATCAGGTAAAATTGTTGTAGATCCATATATCTTTAGAAAACTGATTCGCTGCAAATTGTGGGTTTGTTCGGATATATTCCTTAACAATTCCCCCCTCCCGCCGTCAATCCACTTTAATTTAATGTCATAGATGTGCACATTTTAACACTTAAAGTATTTTAACATCAGACAAATTCTAACAGAGTATGTTAACATAAGACACATTTAATTATGTATGTTAAGATCAAATTATGTTAACACTTTCAGTATATTAGCATCGCGATTTAACACTTCAGTATGTTAACATCAAATTTTAACGCGTTCAGCATGTTAACATCAAATTTTAACACTTTCAGCATGTTAACATCAGTTTTTAACACTTCCAGTATGTTAACATCAGATTTTAACACTTTCAGTATGTTGACATCAAATTTTAACACTTTCAGCATGTTAACATCAAATTTTAACACTTTCAGTATGTTAACACCAAAATTTAACACTTTCAGCATGTTAACACCAAAATTTAACATTTCAGCATGTTAACACCAAAATTTAACATTTCAGCATGTTAACACCAAAATTTAACATTTCAGCATGTTAACACCAAAATTTAACATTTCAGCATGTTAACACCAAAATTTAACATTTCAGCATGTTAACACCAAAATTTAACATTTCAGCATGTTAACATCAGACTTCGCCTCGGCTGCTGTGTTGATTACGTTTGGTGCCCTGCTGGGTAAGACCAGCCCAATGCAAATGATGGTCGTCACGTTGATTGAGATCGTTCTCTTCTCAGCTAATGAGTACATCGGGCTCGTCCTGCTACAGGTAGGGTCGGGTGTGTAATTACTGACAGTTTGACACCAATCACATGAATAATATTAATAACGCAAAAAATCAGGAACCATAACTCGAGAAACAGGAACCATAACTGTAAAATCAGGACCGATAACTCTAGGTTACAGAAACACTTTTTAGACATTGGGAAAAAAAAATGTATTGCTGAAATATGTTCATGATTACAGGTTTGTTATCAAGTTAACATTTTGTTTCCTTTAAAAGTATTTCTTGAGTATTGAAGATTGCATATGGCTTTTTATTTGTAATAAAGTATGTGGTGCAGTAATTTTTTAACAACACAGTTTTAGTTTATAATATGAGTTAACATATCTATCACTAATTTTAATAAAATTTACTGTATGTCAGCCAGCATTGGCGTTTTTTTCTTGTTAAGAGTTGATCTAGATATGTAGGGGATAAAAATTCAAAACAGACTAATGCACTCACACACAATGACATGACGTGTTGTTGTACTTTGTTTTAATTTTCAAACCCGAGGGGAAAAGAAAAAAAGTATAGGGGCGTATGTTTTATAAGAATGATGACAAAATGACAAACGTATTTTCTACAGGTGGTCGACGTGGGAGGATCAATGTTTGTTCATGCATTTGGCGCCTACTTTGGTTTGGCCATCTCCCGAGTTCTACATAACCCAGAGGTGGAGAAGTCAACAAAAGAAGGATCTGTGTATCATTCTGACATGTTTGCAGTCGTAGGTTAGTCCAAGTTTATGTTTTGTTCTAAAAATTATTTTAGATTGCTTACTAACTTACTGTAAGTTTGTCTACGAAAACAAATTCGTACAAATTATTTTTTCTTAACTAACCCAAAAGTAAATAGAACTTACCTATTAGAGGATAAAAATTAAACTGGTGTATATCATCACCTTTACCTCTTGGTGCCCGAGACAAAGTGGGCAGATGAAGTAGAGTTCATCTGTTTCAGTTAATTCAACATACAGGGGGATAGTATGGTTAGCATTATAAGCAAACTGGTACATGAATTAGTGCATCTTGCATATTTTGTTTTTAATTAACCAAATACAATGAGGAGCTTGCCTTTCCTTGAGAAGGTAACATTAAACTGGTATGTATTTCCTGTTTTAGTTTTTAATAAATCATAAGTCAAAAGGAGCTCAGATATCATGGAGAAAACAAAATTAAACTGGTAGACTACATATTTCATGTTTTTTACTAACCCACAGGCACAATCTTCCTTTGGCTGTTTTGGCCCAGTTTTAACAGTGCCCTGGCCATAGACGACGCCCAGCATAGAGCAGTACTCAACACGTACTACGCCTTAGCAGCTTGCTGTGTTGTTACTTTTGCTATCTCAAGTCTGGTCGACAAAGACGGCAGGTTTGACATGGTAAACAATGACTTCATTTTTTATTTTTTTATTTTTTTTTTATTATTTTTTTTTTTAAATTTTAAAAAAAAAAAATTTTTATTTTATTTTTTGGTTTTACATAAAGTTGGGGAGCACGCAAAAATTATTTTCTGCCTATGTGTACTAAAAAATGTAATATGTCCAAACACTGACTCCCCTGATTTAGAATAGCCTGACCCTTACTTCTTTGTATTATGACCAGGTTCACATCCAAAATGCAACACTGGCAGGGGGTGTGGCCGTAGGGACAAGTGCTGACATGATGATCCAACCTTATGGGGCTCTGATCATTGGCTCACTGGCTGCACTGCTCTCCACTATTGGCTACAAGTACATCACTGTAGGTTTTTAAACTTTCATTTAGAAGAATTCCTAACAATGGTTTCCAGTAGTTGTAGAACATTTTTATTATTTTAAGTTATCTGCTACATTTTTCTATTATCTTATATGATGAATGTGAGTGTGAGTGTACATGCTGCCCACATGTATATGTATATATATATATGTGTGTGTGTGTGTGCATATATATGTGTGTGTATATATGTGTGTATATATATGTGTATATATATATGTATATATAATATATATATATATATGTGTGTGTGTATATATATGTGTATATATATATATGTGTATATATATGTGTGTATATATGTGTGTGTATGTATATGTGTGTGTATATATGAGTATATATATATGTGTGTGTATATGTGTATATATATGTGTGTTTATACATGTTTGTGTATATGTGTATATATATATGTGTGTGTGTGTGTATATATATGACTATATATATATATATATATATATATATATATATATATATATATATATGACTATATATATATATATATATATATGACTATATATATATATATATATATATATATATATATATATATATATATATATATGCTCATATTATATATCCTGATGATTTCACAGCCCTTCTTAAAGTCCAAGCTCAAGATCCATGACACATGTGGTGTCCACAATCTGCATGGAATGCCTGCTGTCATGGCTGGAATTATTGGTGCCATAGTCGTTAGTTTTGCTGACAAAGAGACCTATGGCTACACGTAAGCCTATGAATTGATAATAATTTTATTGGGTTTAACAGTTTACATTTTTATCAACTCTCTAATTATAATTATGTCTAAATTGGAATGAGATTAATGAGCCAAAAAGTTTATTGCTAGTTTACTATAATGTTTTAAAAATTATTTTATTAAGAAAGTGAATTTTAAAAATGTATTTAACTCATTTTATATAACATCTTTGTCAATTAATCTTGGCAACTATTTCTCTTAAACTACTTGTTTGTTATGTTACAGGCTGTATAGACAGTTCCCTGCTATGGCACCTAACAGCTCCAGCTCTGAGTGGGCAGAGCTGCAAGGGCATATGGATGCTGAGCCTGGCAAAGGGAGGTCAGCAGGTGATCAAGCAGCTTATCAGATGATTGCCCTTGCAATAACACTATCCTTTGCTCTGGTCGGAGGTCTTTTTGTGGGTGAGTTTGTCATTTGCAATTCTTGATACCATAAAAATAATACACTCTTTCAAATATAATAAACATTTTTAAAAATTCATTTTCATCCCCAAATTAATAATCATTATTCCTTTACATCTATTTATGATGTAATTTAAAGTCATTTTCTTATCACTTTTTAAAGTGCCAAAGAAATTTTTTTGAGATTTATTTATATTATTAGAAACCATGATCTAGTAGAAATTACATTTGCATAATGTGAATTTCTGTGTATTAATTTATTACTGCAACATTTAGTTACATAGCAAATTTAGCAAATAGAAATAGATTTAAACCTGCTCAATTTATAACAAGGACATTATGCAAACATTAAATTATATAAATGAAAGTAAAATGAATAGTGTTAACTTTACTTGGAAGTTATAGTTTTATTCATTATTATATAAAATCTAAAAAGATTTATTTAAAAAGCTTTGGAAAATGTCTTTTTCAATTCATAAACTGGAGATGATTAAATAACTCTTTTGTGTTTTTAAAGCACATTTTGTATGTTTTTTCAACTTCATTTCTGCTTATAGGACTAATTTCTATTTTTTATTACATTTCTTTTAATGATGTGAGTAGAGAGAACTGTTTAAAAACCTTCAATTACATTAAAATGAAAAATAAATATTTATATTTCAAAAACCTGATACATATTTTTAAAAAACAAAATTCACATTTTAAATTTTTTTATTTTGACAGGTCTGCTGCTGAAAACATGTGATTTCCTTGGCCAGCCTTCAGGAGATCGCTATTTTGAAGACAGTCCGTTCTGGCACATCCCTCATGACCATGAAAGCAGTGAGTTGTCTCCAATTGTCTCAAAGGTCATTTATGAACTCGAAAAGAGGCAATCTTCCCCGAAAAAACTTGACGCTAGTGGTGTCCCCTTGTTAGCAGCAGATCTCACGATTGAAGAGACCAGTTTTACTAATGACCATAAGGCTTAACAAAAACTGAAGCTGTGTTTATTTTTTAAAATTAGGAATAAAGATTAAATTGAATAGATTTATCAAAATTTGTTAGCCCTAACTATGAAGAATATTTTTATCTTCATCTTAGTTAGGAAAAAATATTATTTTTAAACCATCACAATGCTGAAAAGCCAGCAAATTAAATATTTTAGCTCAACTCTGGCAATGTGTATTAACAATGCCAGATAAATATATCTACCTAAGTATTTTGTGCCAAAATCTTTTTTCAATTTTCTTTTATGGCATGTTCTCTTTGGTTAAAAAATAATTGGTGATTATTTATGCTCTTGAATCTCTTTATGTTGTCAAATAACCCTGTGAAACCGAACTTATTCTATGTTTATCTTAATCTGGTGTACTACTATATGGCTAGTGAAAACATAATTATACTGTTGTGAGTTATTTTAACTTTCTGTATTTTTTATATTTGTAAAATAGCATATAATCTCATTTGTTTCATTAAAACACACATCTTATTGTGTAAATGGATTTGGTAATTGATTACAAATAAAAGTTGGGAAAGTAGTATGCAAAGATATATAAAAATGTAAGTAATTGATTATTATTTTTAAAAAGTGATTGTTTTTTCTTTAAAATCTTTTTCTCATTTTCATTATTTTTTTAAATTACTGTGAAACTAAGTATTTTAATTAATATTTATGTAATTTCTTACTTGTACTCTGAATATATTTCATTTTTTTGTGTTCTTACTTTCATTAATTCAACAATTTTAAGCATGCCTTTAGGTGTTTTTTTTTTTTTTGTGTTCAATATAATTATTCTATGAATTTTAAAGAATTCTCTGAAACAGTGAACATCTAGACAAACCATTTATATTGTGAAAACCTCATATATTAACCTGCAGATTTAGTTCAATACTCATCCGTTTCAGATAGTTAAGTTCAAATCAAGTCTTACACAAAGGGAAGAAATTTAATATTTCAATACATCATATTGTGTATCATTTTTTATACTTGTTTGTAAACAAAGCCTATGCTGTCACTTAGATTAGTAATGTACCTGACTACCTCAGTCTTGGCAGAGTTTAGTTTTGTTATGTGCTGATGTAATCTAGCCTGAGCAAGGCTTGTATTGTCATTTAAATATTTTTTCTATTAATGTCTTAACAATTTAATTATGAAAGTAAGGAACTTAACACAAAACATCGCAATTGAAAAGCATTAATCCCCTTCTAGGAAATATAACGTTAAAAGACAATATTAAATGTACTGCTTTACTTTCAGGACTTAGATATAAATTACAAGAAGATGCAATGTTTTTTAAAAGATGTTTGTTTAGTTAGTTACTGTAAGAAATATGTGGCTCAATATGTTGTTTGACAAGTGCTGATCTATAGTTACCAACAAAGTTTGTTATGGAAGTTTAAGATCTATACCAGTGTTAACTTTGTTGAACCGAGGTGGTATCTTTATTTTTTATAAATATTTTATTGCAGTGTTCAATTTTTTAGCTATATATGAAATTAATTATGATATGTTTACTAAACAGGTTATGCGAGCATGAAGCAATAAAAAATATCAGTATTAATAGTATTATAAAACTGATGGTGCGTATATTCAATAATTACATGAAATTAAATGTATGAAAAGGAATAAATAATGAGGACAGAAATATGTGTTGCATATGGAAATAGAAAGTTAATGAAAAAGTATGCATTTAATTTTGCTGAGCATATGAATAATATGACCTTATTTATAACTTCTATAAATTTACTATAAATCTATAATATCCACACAAATATCCATCTTAATAAAAATCTATTTAAACTATTTATAATATCTGCATAAAAACAGCTGAACTTTGGCCAGCTACACATCAGGGTGTCATTAGTTAATTAACCCTTTAATGTCACAGTTAAAATAAGCAGTTTATGTAGCATAGAGAATCCTCTTTAGATCTAGTGATCCATTGAGCAGATAAGGAAGAGTTCATGTTTCTTGACCTCGGCATATGAAGGGAAGGTGTGGTCAGCACTTTGCCATGCTGCCTTTACTTTCCCTAACATAAGCTAGGTACCAACAAGAACTAGGTGGACTGAATGACATTCTTTTGACTTGGACCCGGATTTGAACTCCAGACTTTCAGATTGCAGCTTACGTTGTCCCATAGTTTATGTAGCATAGAAACAACTATAATAGCGTGACAGAAAAAAATATTTCTGTGTAACAATATGAGGGTCTAGGTCCAGACAAATTAATTTCTCGTCTGTCCGTTTCTACCCTGTCTTTGAACTCACCCACTCTCAAATATGCCTTTTTTATATACAACAACTTCAAAGTTTATAAATGAATACAAATTAGCAATATAAAATGTATTATAAAATAGTAATTGTGAAGTTTCATTTTGTTACATATTCTACACATAATTAAATAATAAATACATAAAAAGGTTTATAATTACAAGCTTTTATAAATGCACTAAAAAGAAGAAAATAATACAATTTTTATTAAATATAAAATAATTTTTTTTAAATATTATAAATCTGCGGTTACTTTGAATATAAAAAAATTACTTTCTTTAAAAATATTAATGCACTACTATTTATACCACTATAAATAAAAGCGTGGACCCCTTGTTTAAATATTTATTATTATAGCGTCCCACGATTTTAGTGCGTTGTTCCGTTTCGTATGCATCCTCGTCAATATTTAATGTCATAACATCTTGTTGCTTTGCATAGTAAGGCTCAAATAGCATTGTGAACTCAATCAAGCACATTTGTAGTCTGCGTGTTCCAGGGGTCTCTTTTCATAACGATCAAAAATATTGGCACAATATCCAGTTGATTGGCCAGACTCGTGAAATTTAAGTACTCTGTACCTTTGTTGTGGCTGTCGAGTATTCAAGAAGATACATTTGCGTGAGCTGTCTCTGACATTGAGGTGACATAATCTGTACACACATTCACAAGCAGAAACTTGTCGTTTGTTCATTATTCTCATGCAAATCTTGAACAGTTTTCGAGACGCATCCGAATCTTCCCTCTTGTCTGATGGCAAGGGCTAGTTCAGTAGGCTCTGATTTTGCAATGTACTTTGCTATATAGTATGCAATAGACTCAGTTGATCGACACGGTTGTATATCCATATTTGCACCCCAAATCTTTAAAAGAATAGGATTGTAAATGTTTACCCATATATCATCCTATCTTCTTTTCAACAAGCATATTCTTCCGCCATATCGAATGAAATCATCGGATTTTTCTGCAATAATTGCAGTTGTAGCCTGAATTGGTCTTGGAAAACGAAACCGACACACTAGTGAAGGATTATCCCCTTTCTTGCAGGTGTTTGTATGATGGTGAATTTGACATTTTTTGACAAGTTCATACAAATCAGAACTCTCTAACGGGATCTCACACTGGCATATTTGATCCAAAAGTGCGATTCCCTCTGGCGTATCAAAAGAGGGTTGGGTTTCAATCCACAATAACATATGTTTAAGTGGGGACTACCACGGTTTTGAAACTCTATTCGCCACCAGTAATCCTTTAAACGACGAACAAACACCACCTGGTTGTTTTTTACAAACTTCATCAGCGCATTGAGTCGTATCATAAAATGCCGACTAACTAGAACAGGAAATTGTTCAATCGCTGTAATTCATACGTGGTCAAATTGTTCGGATTCTCATCCGGCCTTCCGTCAGCAACTAACAAAGCTTTGCGCATGTCAAGCCAGTGTAAATCATTACAGCTCAGCATTACAAAATACGTAGGTGGCCCCAGACATCGTATTTGCCCAATCAGTTCATTAAGTGCCGTTCGCCAATAGGCTGCGGTTCCACGAACATTTTTCAGATACAAATGAATATCTTCGACCTGACCATCTTGCCCTTGAACCAGTTTTCCACATGCAGAAATGGAAGCCTTCACCTTATAATATTCATACATAGACAGTGCATAAAAAAGATAATCGTTTCTTTGAAACCTTGTGTCACTTCCCATAATTCTGTATTGGAAATAGTCCAGAGGTGTCATCCTTACTTGCCTATCACCATAACAATAATGTGTGAAGAAGGCTGCTTTACTCTTAATGCTCGCACAATGTCCAAGATTCCTTCTACAACCCTATCTGCTGAATGGTCGACGTTATTAGTGCCAACTAAAATGGCAATAACCTGGAAAAAAAACTGTAAAACATTGCATTTATTGGGTGATTTTTTTCCTACCACTGCAAAACAAAAAAATTGTTAGATTGGAAGTATCATTGTATATTTTGTTAGATTGGAAGTATCATTGTATATTAGTTTAGGGCTGTCGTGGAAATGTTTAGGATTAGGGATAGGGTTAATGTTGACGGTATCAAATAAAATAAGTTTTTTTTAGAAGAGTTCGTTATAAGACACTGGTATGGATATAAAAAACTGTTTATTATTTAAATACAAGCCTATTAACAAATCTGATGACAGTCAATATTTATAATATAGGCCTAATACAGAAGAATATTTTTTGCAACACATTTGGGTAACTTTCGATTCAAAATCTTTATATAAAAAAAACTGCAACATTAACTACCACATATAATTTACTTCCTCAAATCAAGAAGAGTAACCAAGCCAAACAATAACACAACCCACCTTTGGCTGAATGTTATCAAACTCCCCATTTTGAATCCTCCAAAGAACATTCTCTGTCGTGTCACCCCCTATACCCAAGTTGAGACAGTTCAAAGGTTCAAACATCTGTTGCCACAGCTGGTTGAATATCAATCAATCAGTTAATCAATCAATTAATCAATTAATCAATCAATCACATAATCAATAGCAAAATATCATCTAAGCTCTGGGTGTTCTAAGTAGCAAATAAACAAATTAAATACTAAAATGTAAAATATGAAGTGTAGAGTAATAATAAAAATATTTGGTAGGACAATATGCCGAAGTATTGTATCAAGGTTTTTATTCTGCTGTATTTCTTCTAGGCATGTATTGTGTCAGTGTTGTTACGAGTAGGGTTTGCAAGAGTAGTTAGGTGCAAATGAATGTTGGTGCAAGAGATATAATGAATGATGATGTGCATAAAATGACATTTTGTGGTAGAACCTGTGTTGCTGTGGAGAGGGTGTGGTTTGAGTTTCCTAACAAGTGTTATCGTCAAGTCTAGAAGTAGTAATGGTTAGGGTGGTTATGCTGTCATAAAAGTTTCCTGAGCTAGCTTATGGCATTTCAATAAGTTAAAAAAAAAAATCAATATTTCCAAGTGACAAATGTCAATTAAGTGACTCACCGGTGACAAGCACATGTTAGCAATAAGAGAGTCGCCTAACAGCACTACTTCAGGCTGTTGTTGCTTTCCTTCACTGATAAAACTGTTGTGCTGTGGATGGTATTCATAACAAACAAGAGTGTTAATTAGTCAATAAATGGAACTTGTTTTTTTCCCATGAGAAATGTGCGGGATTGTTTTAAACTATGCACTAATAATAATGGCTCCATAGTGTAAGAGTAATAGACTATTGGATGATTGTGCTATGGAAATCCAAGCACAATGCCTGGGCGTTAAGATAAGAAGTGCCAGATGTTGTCCATGTATCAGACCCCCTCTCTTCACACAGATGATGGACCCAATGGACAGGACATTACCTAGATCTAGATCTTCTCAACTTAGAATCAGCAGTGTCACAGGAGCTGCTGAAAGGAAACCGAAGTTGGCGATCCTAAGGCCTAAAGGAACTAGATCTATGTACTAGTATGTAACCAGATGTAGAAAAATGGTCTAACATTACTACTACTGTTTCTTCCTCCGTACATTTCATACTAAATAGACCTATTACTAGCATGAAATTGTAGGCCAATGTTACAATCTTCCTAATAAAATATAGGGCCAATCTGAAAATATATTCAAAACTAAAACAGCCATTTAATGACCTCTTAAACTGACTCATTGCAAAATTTCTCATTCATGTAAATATATTTTTATTCTATCCCATTGTGATCTAGATTTATGTAATATTATTTCTTTATCTTTACTTCAAATTTGTGAATGCTATGTAACTGTTAGATCTAGATCTATGTCTTTACTACTCAACTGCTTCTTTATTTTCTCATAGAAGAAGTAGCCTACAGAAGAAGTATTGTAATCATGCAAAAAATAGAAATCGAGATTTTCACAACATAGTTTTGCAATTTCGTCTATGTATGTTTGTGTATGTCTGTGAACTTGATAACTTGAGTACCGTTACAGCTAGGTTGAGGAAATTTCATATATAAGTATTATATCAAAATTTGTAGTTCTGTATCAACTTTTCAGCGATTTCTGGTAATGGGAAGTGGAACTTATTCTACTTTCAATTTTTCAAAAGCTTACAACTTAAGTACTGATCTGATAGATGAATTAAATTTCACATGTAAGTAAAAGATCTAATTCTCTGCCTTCTGTCAATTTTTGAGTAATTTCGGTTGACCGGACGTAGTAATTTACGCTATTTCCGATTTCTTAAAAAACGCATGTGCATTTATAAAGTACTAATATTCCACACTATTATACAGATATTGTTTGCCATTATCATCCATAAATAACGTCATGCTTTTTTTGACGATTTTTACCTCCCCCCTTCTGTCACACATCATCACAAAAAGCCAGACCCCCACCCCTAAAATGACGTCACACCTCAGCCTACAACACCCCTCAAAATTGCAGTTGAATTTTTAAAAACACGAAATAACATCTTAAAAATATCCCAATAAAAAAATTGAATATAGAGCCTACTGAATAATAAATATTAAATAATATTAAAATATTTATATAGAATCAATAGGCCTATAACTATAAACTATAGGCTAATAATAATATTATTAATATTATAATAGCAGATTTTATAGCAGGCTAGCAGGCGGTAGCAGCAGTGCACTAGCAGTAGCAGAAGCAGGCCTACCATCAACATCCACTCCTTCAGCCAACTACTATTGGCAGGGGTAGACATTGTTTGTACTGATTATAGTTTTCTAGATCTAGATTATATATTCTAGTTCTCGATCTAGAAATCTAGATCTAGATTCTATTTAGATCTCGAGTATCTCTAGATTCAAGATCTAGATCTAGATCTAACTCTAGATTCTTGATTTTAGTTTACCCTGACTACATACAGCTGCATTTTAAAAAAATTGAATTTTACAAAAATTTATTTAACGAAAAAATATATAATATAGTTTAAGATATAGCTAGATCTAGACTAGCGATAGGGCCAAACTATTGAAACAATTTACCAAAATATATTTTTAAAATTTGTGAAATATTTATAGGTTTAAAAAATATATCGGCCTACCAGTCATGACTTTTCATGAGTAATATAGATCTATATTCAGATCTAAATCTAATAAAATAACACCCAATGAATTGTTTTAGGAATCAGCTAATAGCATTAGCAAGAGAGCACCATTTATTAATGTAAATGACCAAAATAAACCTTAACCTTTTTATTTGTTTAATTATTTACTTTCTGGTTATTTATTTTGGTGCATTCACCTGTTCCATTTTTTATATTTTTGAAGCTTTTTTTAAAGCTATAAATAAATTGGATTAAATAAGATTTTTAAATATTTTTCACCCCCTTCCTCCAAATCATCACACATCACAAAATGTGAAGACTTGTAGAATACAAATGTGAATACTTCTGAAATAAAACTGCTACTTTTACTTAGGTTGGTGAAAACTCAAAAACAAATTAACTCCACTTCATCTGCCCAAATTGATCTTCGAGCTCAAAGTTGTCAGCTTCTTGGTCCATTAGTTTCATGGCACACATAGTTTCGTCATCATTTGTATAACATTTCAATACTTTTAAAATACAAATTCATAAAAATATCTGTCCAGTGGTTGGAGCTGTAAACTCTTGGAAGATGAGCTCATTAGCTGAGGACAGACAGCTACTCGTCTATGATAGAAAACTCCAAAATTAAACTGCTGCCTTGCAAATTGTTCTTGGCTGGTCAAAAGCTATGACATGAATCCAGAAAGAAAAGCAGACTGAAATCAGTCAATGGGGCACATAGTGCATAAACATGCTGACAAATTATTCCTGGTTGTGTTTCAGGAAATCCCTTTCAATATTCCAATTAAGAACACAGAAGAAATAACTCATTGGCATATATTAATATGAAATGTTCTGTAAAAATCACAAAGGCCAGACAAAAATTGACAACATAACGTCCAATTGTTAACTAAATATTTTTATTGCACCTTGACAAGAAAAAACATGATAAAATACAAAGTCTTGCACAGATAACCTGCGGTGTGTATGCATATACAGTACATTTATCTTTACACGGATAGCATCAGGTCACATGGCTCAGGGATCTAAGCAGAATTTACTCAAGTTATAAAAATAAATGTTTCCAACATAACATCTGTGCTCAAACAAGCAGACTAGTGTTCTATAAAATACATGGCTCCAACATCAGATTTTCTACATTTTGTGAAAAAGGTAATTGTTATTTTAACACATAAAAATACCTTGCTTAAGCTTTGTGTTTTTAACTGAATATCTAACAAAATTGGTCAATTGTCTGCACCTCCTAGTTTTTCATTAAGGCGTGTGAAAAAACAGTTTACTCCGTCAGCTCAAACTAAAGCAATGATGCTTTACAACATTTTTAGAAATTTAATTTTTAAAATGCAAAAAACCACACACATTGTAAATCCAGTAAATCCAAATCAAAACTACAATTATTTTGTTTCCAACTGAGTTTGAAATAAAGCATCGTAAATTTTTTTTAATGCACAATTAAAACTCCTTTTAAAATTTTGAAATGTAGGAATTATCTAGGATTAAAATGATTCGATTACAATACATGTAGAAATAAAAAGTAGATGATTAAATGAAAGATTGAAGTGTTGTTGCCCCATCCTTAAACTTTTGCGTCACTCTCTTCAGCTGTAAAATCTGGGCATTACCTAATATAATTACATATAAATATGTGTGTTGAAAATCATTGACATAAACTAGCGAGACAAAATTAGCGAAACAAAAAAAAATGAAGCATTAAATGATAGTATCTAAATTTAATTATTTAACAATTAAAACTGGGGTGGTTGTTTTTTTTTTTGAGCAAATTAGTTTTTGTTGAATACTTGAAATGTTACTATACTGATAAAATACACAACATAAAAATTTCAGATAACTTTTAAAATCAGTAATGATCAGTGCACTTAGTATTTATTTTTTACTGGAATGTTAAGGAATTTTTATTTATTTTTTTTAATTAGGAAATATTAGGAAATACCCCATGGTATGAGGTTGATTTGAGGTACAATATTATATATAAAATCATGAATATGGTAAGACAGATTATGGTAAGCTAAAACTGGCAGCATAAAAGAAGTCAAAATCTTCAAGTCACTGATGGAAATTAAAAAAATAATAACAAAATGCAAATATGAAAACTGATACTATCTTCGGCATGACACATGCACAACATGGCTAATAATTCGTTCATCATTAACACAACATTTTTTATACATCAAAAGCTGCAACTTTTGTTACAATTCATTTGGTTAAAAAAAAATATAGTAAGTGGAGCACAGGAAAAAAATTAAAGAATAAAACAATTTTTGTAGGAAACTAAAAAACCAACATGACAAAATAAAGAGTAGACCCTGACATTCTAACAAATAAACATTAGTAAGAGCTTTTTTTGTACAGACCATACTAGACTTAGTCTTTTCCAAGACTTAGTCATAAAAACTGGCACCTGATTAAATAATGATTACACTTGTCAAACTAAATATTTTTAGAATACAAGACTAATAGCAGATAGTGGTCATGCTTCAAATATAGATGTGTACTGATATTCAAGGAGAAACAAAAGGAGTATACCAGTTACATTTGTATATATAGTCTGAGTTGGCTGTCCAAAGAATAGCAACCCTTTGGCAATTCTTACAAAACAGATTTGAAACAAACTTTGATGGCCAGATTAACTGGTCTACTGTTGTGACCAAGTATTATGATACATATCTTTACTGAGCCAAACTTCAATCAAGTTTTCAATAGAGATTGTCGTTCTAAATAATATAACTTTTAAATATAGAAAAAAACAGAAAAACTAATTTATAAATTTAGCATACATAAATACTACTAGTATAAGACAAAATATTAATCTCAGCCTATAACTGAATGCACTCTTTTCTTGAAACTTTTTAAAAATCTTGTATACTCTACAAAATGAATCACATGTCAGGCTGTTTTGGCTTATTTTCCTGTATTCATTCACAATCAGTATAACATTTTGGACGACATGATAGAGACAATTTCTCAAATCAACATGCAATGCATAACTAGATCTTTTTAACTTAATGAATTGGTAGTGTTACCAAAACAATCTTCAAATGATTAAAATAATTTATTCTGTCGACCACTTTTAAGAAAAAGCCTTTATTGACACTGGTTTAGAAAAAAAACAGCTTGAAACACAGAATTGCTTTCATGAACAATAAATATCAAGCACAAAGAGCCAATGACAGAAAATAAATCAAGTTCTACAGAACTAGATTCAAAATTAAAAGAGATAGCCCGTTACAAAAATTGTGCTTAAGAACTATGGAAAGTGTCATGAAAGCGATTTAATAGAGCAAAATTTACTTTTTAGGTAAACATAACTTGTGTTTAAATAGCTATTTAAAACGTTGATATACTCATCTAATTTGATAATGAAAAATAACTCTGTGGTGGTCCTAACAGTAACTAAACAGTTAGACAAGATACCTGAAGCTGTTAAAACACACAACTGATGTTTAGGCGACAAGCTTGCGACAGTGCTGTTTCTTGGACACTCAAAAAGTAAGGTAAAAAGATTTCTTATAAATCCACCTGGTGACCTAGCTAGTTACTGGGTGAATGGTCCAGATCCCCAGCCAAAGATGCAGTATCCACAGTGCTCTCAACCTTAATAAATGTGCCTAATAGATTTTGAATTTCCTCTAGAAGAGGCTCACACAGTTTTTGATATCCTTCCTGCGCCGTCAGATGCAGGAAGTCATACATTACGCTCCTTCTGATAATACCTTCACTGGACATGAATTCCTTGTCGTCAATTTTTAGAAAACTTGTGAGCGCAGCCCCTTCAAGTTCCTCAGCAAGACGCTTGTTGATGGCGGAATGTTTTTCTCTAACTGGATTAGGCTTCTCTCCCCTAGGTAATAAACCCTGATGAAAGATTGAGAAACATATGAGTAAGGTTGATATCGAGTCCAAGTATTCACTACTGTGTACGCAGCAAGTAGGCCTACAACATTTGATAAATAGAGCATGCTGAAGTCCAGATGACAAACAGAACATGATGACCACACAGCAATCAGAACATGATGACCACACATCAAACAGAACATCATGACCACACATCAATCAGAACATGATGACCGAACAGTAATAAAAACAAGATGACTACACATCAATCAACATGATGACCACACAGTAAACAACAAGATGACCACACAACAATCAGAACATGATGACCGAACAGTAATAAAAACAAGATGACCACACATCAATCAACATGATGACCACACAGTAAACAACAAGATGACCACACAACAATCAGAACATGATGACCGAACAGTAATAAAAACAAGATGACCACACATCAATCAACATGATGACCACACAGTAAACAACAAGATGACCACACAACAATCAGAACATGATGACCACACAATAATCAGAACATGATGACCACACAGTAATCAGAACATAATGGACATATAACATGCTGATTCAAGCAAATGAGAACAGGTAGTAGAATGCAGCTTCCAATTAATGTAGTGCTCATGTTGGGCAGGTTATAGGGTAAATAGCTTGTAGATAGTTTAGTGCAATAAGTAATCTTTTAGAGGAAAGCAATATGATTTGTTACTTGGTCAAAGTCCTAGTGTGCAGCAAAAACAATTTATATTTGTGAATATTTAGTTTGTTTTAAAATTTTGAAAAGTGTCTAGATATATTATTTGTTTATTGTATGACAAAATGTAAAAAAAAATATACAAATTCAGTAATTTCTGTCAGTTTCATGTTTATATTCATTTTTTTTTTTTTTGTTCTTAGAAATACATTAAATTTTGAGAGAATTTTTAACCAGAATCTGTTTCTAAATAAGTCTTGTCTTTATTTCAAATTAATTACAAAAAAAAACATGTTCAGATTGGTTGAAAGATTCTGTAGAGTAACATGTTAAATTTTATAACAAATATTTTACATTAAAACTTCCAAATGAATAAACATAAATATCAATATGTGTAGTTAATGCTAGTTTCTTCCTAATACCAAGTTGTGTAGTAGCAAAACTAAATGTCCTTAGCTCACATAACTTACCAGAACAATAAGATGTGAAGCAGGCTGCTTCTCTTTAATCAGCTTTACTATAGCTAAAATTCCTTCCACAACTTGTTCTGCTGAGTCATCAAAGTTATTGGTGCCAACCATTAAGACAATGACCTGCAAATTTTAAAAAATATTTCAATTGCTGGATTTTTATCTATCTACTGCAACATAACAAACAATGTTAAATAGACTTATTGTTTAAATTGTTTTTTACTTATTTAACAAACTAAACGTGAGCCTTGAAGTCTATCTTCTAACAAAACAAAATCTACCTTTGGCTCAACTTGATCAAGCTCTCCATTATGAATTCTCCATAGAACATGCTGTGTTCTATCTCCACCAATGCCAAAGTTGAGGCAGTGTAAGGGTTCAAACATCTGTTGCCACAGCTAGCTCAGAACAAATAAATACATCAACAACACAATCAACAATATTATTCAGGTGCAGACAGGTTAACTTTTAAATTAGTGGTTATAAACACTAATTTTTTTATACCATCTATATATATAATTCTCTTCTGGGAGACGTTAGAAAACAAGCTGTAAGCGCGCTCCCTACCACCCCCACCCCTACATGGTTTGGTGAGCTGTGGTTCACTCTAAATGTTTACAAACAGATCCGGGTTTAGTGACGACTATTAGGGGCAGATAATTTAGTTTGAAATAATTTTAAACTTTGGGGGGGGGGGGTAACTAAGTGGAGTTTACTTTAATGGAGGGGGGGGTGTAAGGAGGGGGGGGGGGGGTATCGTCCTTAACGGGCTACTTATAGTGTTTTAAAGAAATATTTTCAGTGGCAGCATTGGAAGTGTCGAATGCACAAATTATGAATAACTGAAAAGTAGAAAAAACAACAACTAAATAGCGGCATATGATATGCCGCTGGTCGGCTCGTATTAATTTACAACAGATAGACAATCATTATTTATTATCTGGATTATATTTTTTTATATACCTGAGACTGGCACATCTGAGCAATAAGGGAGTCCCCTATCAGTACAACCTCTGGTTCTTTCTCTTTTGCATCGTGCAGAAATGAATTGTGCTGGAGGTGAAAATTAAATACAAACATATTCAATAATTTTTTTTTTCTTTCTACTTTTATTATAAGGATGTGGTTTCAGTCTGTCAGCCAACATCTTTCATTTAATACTTTCAGGGGTCAAGAACTTGTTAACAATTACAGTTCTGACTGTTCAGGGGTAAAAACTTTACTTGTTGATTAGGTCTATTGATTGACTAATTTAAATATTTGACTCTAGTCCAATCTAGGACCTACATTCTTTTGTATTGACCTCTACTCTACTTTTAATATTCTTATGTTTTTTGCCAATTTTAGATAAAAAAAACAACTAAACAGAACTAACTTTAACTAGACTCAAGATTTTTGGTTGGTAATCAATAAATTTTAACAAAAAAAAAGGTCGAGGTTATTATCAGTCTGCTGGGAATCTCTCTAATATGCTTCTCAGATAGCTATCATGTCAATAATTCCATGCAATAACCTCTGGGAATAATATCAACATAACAATAACATTTATTGCAACAGCTAAAGGAAGTAGGATGAGAGTAGAAATATTTTTTAATAAGTTATATTTTTATAAAAATAATTACTGTTAAGTAAATGATACATTATGCATACTAGTCATTAGTAATTTTTAAATTAATAATTATGCATTATTTAGTCTCAGCCCTAAGTAGGTCACAATGTTTTCAAATTACCATTTTTAAATTAAGAAAAGGTAAATATCAAGTGAAATTGCATAACCATGTCCATTTTAATTAGTTGCTACTCATGTTTCTACTTTATTTTTTGGCATAGCCAAAGCAGGGGGGGGGGGGGGGGATCTAGGTCACATGACTTTTTTTCTCTCATAGTCTAAATCAGGGGTCTCCAAACTATGGCCTGCGGGCCAGAAGCGGCCCTCGAGGTCCTCTCATCCGGCCCACAGAGATCTTTTTGTCCACGGAATAAATGTTTGTTGGTGATGGCTGAGGAACATGCCTGGAATAAACTGGCCCCCGAACTGATAGTTAATGCGGCCCTCGGACTGAAAAGTTTGGCAACCCCTGGTCTAAATGATAGTGAATACGCAGGAAATCATGTCACAGGGGAGAAGAAATAAAATGCAAAATAATATGCCTTATTGAAATTGTTGTAAAAAAAAGCTGTCAATATTTCATGAATAAATGCAAAAATAAATATGGTAAAATTAATATGACTACTTATTATTGGGAGCAGATAACTGATGGGAAATGTGTGACCATCACATGCAATGTTCTACGGTCAACCAGTAGGCCTAACCATAACCAGTAGGCCTAGCCATGGCCATGGGTCCATCATGTACAAAACCACTTTTAAAATTTTTACTTTCGTCCTTTTTAACAATAAATCACTACATTTAATTAGGTCTATTGTTAATTGTAACAGGGAAAACCCAAATTCCAGTATAATGGAAATACAAAAGCCAATTTAATATGACTCAATATTATACTCAATAATCAAATTGGACAATTAGAATTAGATATAGATCTAGAGTTCTAATGGCACATGATGACATGCATGCACACAAACTACACCCCATTTTCATTTGTGATTGGTTGCCCTGTCTGACATAATCAGATAGATCTAGAGTTAATTCTAGTAGTAGAATTAGTAGTCCTGTCTAAAAACTCATTCAATTAATTTATTAACTAAATAAAAGATCTAGAAATCTAGTAAGTCGTGTAGTCACTGAGTGAGTAGTCAGTACTCTGAGTACTCACCAAACTCATCCACCGCCCGTCTCCTTGCACATCTTCCACTGGAAGGGGGGGTGGCAGCAGGGCATGACATTGCTAGCCTAAATATGTGATCTAAAAGCAATATTCCGCGGCTAAATAACAGGTCTGAGCAAATACAAAATATGTTAAATAGCTTTAGATTTAGAGTCTAAAATAATCTAAAAGTTTGACAAATTTAATAAAATGAACTTAAACCGGAAACAAACGTAACTATAAGTCGATTCCCAATTTTAATATTTCAGGTCATACTAATATCCGAAACCTAACGAAAAATAAAAGAAGGTCTGGAGTTAAATATATTTAATAGATCTGAACATTTGAAAATGTAGGGATATGTTAATGTTTTATTTCAGAATATAACACACATTTCATTCAAAACCCCAACGTAAAATATTTCCTTCTAATTTAAATGGAATGCTACCTTCGGATCTTGTCGGGCTATATTGCTCTGTATTTATTTACAGTGCCTGTTTGTCTACTTTCAGTACTCACTACCTTTGTCTAGTTAATACTGCTGTCTACTTTCAGTACTCAATACCTTTGTCTAGTAAATACTGCTGTTTCTGTGACTGAGCCGGCAACCATGACCTTTCATACAATATAGGCCCTCAATATTTATTGTAACCTAAAACTGATTTTGAATAAAGAGGTGAGTAGAAAAATGTAATGTGTGTTATTCTCGAAGCTATAGGTCATTTGGAACCAATATTGTTAGAATGGGTCGATCATAAATGACGTCTGTATGTTGAGTCACATTCGTCACAAAAAGACGTAAATTAACAAGTTTATCATATTTTCGCTTTATCACAAAAATCTTACCCCCCCCCCCCCCCCCCACCTCCTTTCGCCCTATCACCCTTTCATAGACAACATCTTGTAGACATATGCTTTATGTAGATTATTCTTTTCCACACACCTTGTTAAAAGTCATTAATATTGACAAAGAATGTTCAAACTTAAAAGATAGGCTAGTAAGCTACAAATAGGCCATATTTATAAATTGTTTAAATATACGCATATATTCTTCCTTCAAATAAGAATTCTATCGGACTTTGCCTTTTGACTTAGATTTTTAAAAGTCGAACATCGTCTGTTTTGATAAATATTAATAGACCCTTTTTGTTAATCTCTAGATATCGGCCTATCTCTGCTAGCTGAAACAGTATAGCCTAAAATAATTATTTGCATTGAGTATAAACTTTATTCAATGGAAACCTTGAAAGCCAGCTCATCGAGCTAAGTAGTTTGTTTCGAGTTTCATACAGGACAGACTAACTTCATATTTGCTGTACTACGCCACATAAACCACTTGCTCACGATGTCCACCCTAACTCTATTCCACCCTTCTTCAAAAACAAAGTACCGGCAACCCCCCCCCCCCCCCCCAGTGTTTCTTCCAGACTTTTTTCTCCGGTGGTGCACAGTGCACTTGAAATTTTCGGGGGGGGGGGGGGGCGGACACCGTCAAAAGTATATATTTTCTATATAAATTCCATTTCGTTCGGGGGGCGGTAGACTTTCTTCGGTGCTCCCCCCCCCCCCCCCCCGAAGAGATTCCTGGAAGAAAATCTGACACCCCCCCCTCCCCGCGCCTCTTTGAATACCACTTACCTACTCTAAGTCAAATAACACATATTGTAAAATTATTCCTAGGAAGTAGTAGCCTACAAGACGAAATTAGCCAAATCTTGTCTGACACTGTCTTACCTCTTTGTTGACAATATATAGAAAATAACAACGTAAATCTAAAGGCGCTTCAATAAAAGTTATCACTTACTTAACACCTCGAACACATTCCCCTATAACTATTTTAGACCTAGGAGATCATTCATGTACAGTTGGGGAGAACTCAGTTCAGTGGCGTAGGCAGGAGGGGTGGGTTAGGGGGGGGGTCATAACCCCCCCCCCCCCCCCCCCCCCATCAATAGACCCCTCGGTATATAAAAAGTATGAGGGGGGTGCAAATCGAAAGTTTGAGGGGGGTGCAAATCGAAAGTTTGTCCCCGGGTAAAAATTGGAAACCCCCCCCCCCCTTGAGACGATCCTGGCTACGCCACTGACTCAGTTAGTAATTCAGCTGTTGGCTTGATTTTGTCACCGCTATCAACGTGGACAGACAGCACCAGAGCAGAGACGTAGCGACCCTTCCCGGCGCCCGGGGACAAACTTTCGATTTGCACCCCCCCCCCCCCTCGAAATTTTCATTTGCACCCCCTCAAACTTTCAATTTGGCGCCCCGCCCCCCTAAGGTCGGCGCCCGGGGACATATGCCCCCCCCCTCGCTACGCCTCTGCACCTGAGTCCAGATCACTACTAAGACGTTCACTGTAACCATCGATGTTCTGTTTTAACGTTTAGTATTTTTCTACACTTGGTCTCTCTCATTTGTAGATATTTTTGTGCTTTTAAGCATGTTTACTGAAAAAAAAAGTTTGACAATGTCCTTCTCTGGGGAAATATTTAATTATTTTTAATCAATTAATATAACTTTTTAACATCATTTATACATTTCTATAAAACAAATGTAACAGCTTGTTCTAAAATAATTTACCCCATTTTACTCTGCGCGAACAAAATACATGTTTTAATATTATCAGTTACTTCCCTTTATTCGTTTTTTTGTAAATAAACCATACAATTTTAAATGCATCTCATTTCATTTTTAGTAATTCTAGGTTATATTTTACTTAAGCGACAAATATAATTTCAATTTTACATCTATAATTCCATAAAGCAATGCAGGTTGTCAAAAATATTTTATTTTTTTATTTTTATTAAGTAAATGAAGCTTACGAAACTAAACCTCCATTCCTAGAAAGCTAAGCACCAACAGCTGTGCCGATTACACCACGTAGACCATATCACGTGATCCAAAATCTTACCACATACGCTACTGTTTTATCTCTCTCTTGACCTTGACATTTATTCCGCTTAGCACCTGTATATTACGGCAGCTGTATTTAAATTATCCTGTACAGGGTAGGTCTGATATCCATTCACTAAAGTACGTCACACCTCGGGTAAAAATATCCTCTTCCAGTTCTCAGAAATCAATGTTTATCTTCTGCAGGGATTCCCAAATTCGCTTGGGGCTGTTTTTGGTGTGTTTTTTTTTTTGTGTCTATTTTACATATTTTTATAACTTTTGCTATCAGCCCTCTTAGTTATACACCGGTTTTAGTATGATAAAGTAGAAGTAAAGAATCACTATACCTAGCGATACATTGGGCAGATGAAGTAGAGTTCAAATTTGTTTTACTAGGGCATATAAAGGGAACATTTGTTCAGTCGCCTTTTAATACTTCCCCTAACTTGAGTTAGGTACTCATCAGAGCTGGGTGGAATCAGTAACGTTCTACTTACTTGAATCCGGATTCGAACTCGAGAGTTTCGGGTTAGCAACCTAGCGCTCTACTACTAGGCCACGCCGTCCCATCGGTTTTGTATGATGTTTATTTATAAAGACTTGGATTTTTGAGGCGCACGATGAATTCGCTAAGCTCTAATGAGTACCTGGCAATATTTGGAAAACAATGACGGCTGTGTGGACTCAGGGATGCCTAGATGCTCAATTAAGGCACCCATCACCTAGATCAGGGGTCTCCAAACTACGGCCCGCGGGCCGTATGCGGCCCGCGAGGTACTTTCATCCGGCCCGCGGAGATCTTTTTGTCCACGGAAAAAAATGTTTGTTGGAGGTGGCTGAGGAACTTTGCCCAGAAAATTCAAAACAATTTGAAAAAGTAGCTTTGGGTGCAATTACTATTGCATACATTGGTGAAAACGTCGTGACTCAAATAGCGAAAAATGCAAGCAAGTTTCGCTATTTTTCAATTGCAATGGATGAGTCGCTGGACAGCTGTTCCACCTCTCAACTGTTTGTGTTCATGAGAGGTGTGGATGAAGATATGAACATAACACAAGAGCTGGCTTCCCTACATAAGATATATATCACTGTTACCGGAGATGATATAATCAATGAGTTAAAAAAAAATTTGCTGATTATAACTTGGACTGGACTAACCTCAGGTACCGGACTTTTGATGGAGGAAAGTAAGATTTACTATATTTCACAGCAGTAAGATGGCTAATTTGCGAGGAAGTCCTGAGTAGAGTATCCAAACTTGTCATTTTTGAAACAAGTACAGGCCAACAACTTGACACATTCTCAGCAGTGCAAGGTCTTTACGACTTACGCAACCACTGCGTTCCCCAAGTCATTTGTATGCGAGATCATCAAAGACCTCCAGCTGCAGTTTCAGTAGCGGTTTTCTTACTTGGATTCAAAATCAGAAGTGAGACTTTCAAAACCCATTTGAAGCAAATGTGGCCAGTTTCCCAGATTAACTGCAGATGGAGGTCATTGAGTTGCAAGCAAATGACCTCCTTAGAGATAAGTTCAAATAAGGGCGGGTGGGTTTTTATAATTTTTTTCCAAAGGAAGACTTTACTAATATTAAAACTTTTGCATCAAAATACTTTCAAACGTTGGAACAACATACCTGTGTGAACAAAGATTTTCAAGAATGAAATATGTGAAGAATAATTTGAGAGCAAACTTGGACCTTGAGTGTGTTCTTGGCCCCCGACAGTGTTTCTTTTAGACTTCTTTCCCCCGGGGGGGGGGAAACATTTGAAATTTGTATATATTTCTATATAAATTATATTTCGTTGGGGGGGGGGGGGGGGTAGACGTTCTTCGGGGGGGGGGGGGGTAATACACCCCGAAGAGATGCCTTGAAGAAACTCTGGCCCCCGAACTGATATTTGATAGTCAATGCGGCCCTCGGGCTGAAAAGTTTGGAGACCCCTGACCTAGATGAACTCAGAAACGTCTACAGACTCGAGTCAGGTACCGGTTAGAGCTGGGTGAACTCAGGGAGGACCTACGGCCTCCAGCCCGCAAGCTCCAGACCTTCGGGCTAGTATTTGTTTACTCGACCACTAGACCACCAGGACATGTTCTACATGCATGAGCGCGGTTGTGGTGATGGTGAGGGGGGGGGTGTAGCTTCACAAAATAAAAATTCTTGAAGAATACAAATTGAGAAACACATAGAAAGGGTATGGATGTAAAAATCGTGTGGATTACGCTATACAAATAATTGATTTTCTATTCTTTCGGGGAGGGGGATGGACGTTCCCGAAAGTAACTCTGATGGCTAAATAGTTTGGTAAGTGCTAGGGTTAAGTTTGTATTAAGTTTCTATAAAC